CCTGCTGTGTATGCTTAAGTCACTTTGCTTATAAAAGAATTTGTCATAACTTGTCAAACACAGGCTGGTGAAAAGAATGCCAGTTTCTGGTTTGTCTTTATTCACCATGCTGTCTGTGTTGGTGTGCCTGGTAAAAGGGGAGCCCATGCACAAGCTTCCAAGTGGGACAAAATCCTACGGAAGAGAAGAAGTACATTAATTCCTTTGATGCAGGCATCAGCAGCTGGAATGTTTTCCCTCTGCATTCGGACAGCACAGCCATCTGCAGCAGTCGTTGAGGTGCACTGTAGTTCAGCAGCAGCTGGGGAACGGAGGGCAGAACCGCTCAGGATTCATAGAGGAGAACCTTGAGCCTTGACAGTGGGAGATGGGATTTTGGTGTGAGGAAACCAGTCTGCTTCCTGGTCAACTTGGCATACTACTGTCATTTTAGGGATGAGTGAGGGAGAACATCTTTTTTTGACATACGTACAGTATGTTTAGCCAAGAACCTGCTCAGGCGGTATTTTTAAATGGCCACTAAAATGTACTGAAACATAATACCTCTGTGGGGCCTGTTAAATCAGAAGGTAGAAGGCCACAGAGAGATCAAAGCAATAAACTAAGCCTCCCATTAGTGTCCTCGGGTAAATCCTAAGTGTTGAAGAGGTTATAAAGAAATTCCTGAAGTAATAGCAGTAAGATAAAGAGAAAACAGAATGTAAGATAAAACTGTCAAAGAACTACTCTGAACAGTCACTAGACTGCATGGACCCAAGGAGTTCTGAAAAAAACCCTCCACAGTATGAAGCTGCTGAGGTATGTTTGTTTTTATAAAAAAAAAAAGTCTGGTTTTGTCACCATCTTAGCCTTAGTCCCTCCACATCAAAACCAGTACAGGTAATGCTATACGAGGATTAAAAGGCAAGCTAAGATGATCTAATATTTGTTGGAAGGAAACTTCCTACACCTATTGAGTATTTAAATTATACCCATTGCTTGAGCAACCCAGGGCATTTCTAGCAGCTCAGCAGATGATTTACCGTTGTATTTGATAGTCTGGATATGGTGCCATCAACTCTTTTGTAACAAGGTACTGTAAAACTAAAGCAAACCAGAAATGGAAAAGATCTGTAAACGATTGCTCATGGCAGTTGGAACAGCAAGTCCCAGAACATCCGAAGTCCCTACTGCCATAAACAGCTGTTGGGGCCTTGGAACAGAACAATTTATTCAAAACCTTCCTTCTTCACTTAGTTTTTGTTTTGTTTTGTTTTGTTTTGTTTTGTTTTGTTTTGTTTTGTTGGGGTTTTTTTTCAGAAGGTTGGTCGTACAGAGAGGAAGAGTTCCTCAAGTTGTCACAGTGTTTTACTTTGTGCTTGTGTGTGTGTATACAGCAGAAAAACTGCACAGCTAAATGTAATCTCAGAGCAGACTAACATTTTTTATAAGAACATAAGTATTTGATTAGTACTTTTCTGTGCTATGATACACTGGATTTTTTCTATTTATATGTCACTCAGGGAAGGTTCTTCATGTTTCCCAGGTGAGGTGTCCCCCACCTGCAATGACCCAGACTTTGAGCAGCGTGGTGTCTTTCAGCGCCAGTAGCTTCCTGGCAGATACTCTGCTCTCACTTTCTACTCTACCACATGATTGATTTTGGTGGGAAGAAACAGTTACTATTGGCCTAACCTTGAAATGTTCTCCTGCTGTTTCCAACAGCTGCATACAAAAAAACTTAAGACTGAACTTTCTTTTGCACAGGACGTATCGATAGGAAAATAGAGTTCCCTCTACCTGATGAAAAGACCAAGAAAAGAATATTTCAGATTCACACAAGCAGAATGACATTGGCAGATGATGTGACTCTGGATGAGCTCATTATGGCAAAAGATGATCTCAGTGGGGCAGATATTAAGGTTAGTGTACATCACCATTATTTATACTTCAAAACACAAATCAAATCTCATTTCTACAGCATCCAAAAACATGGTCTGTTGAAACTGTTCTCTGTGGTTGCATCACAGAGGGACGGTTGGATAGCTTTAAAATACCTTTTATGAGTGCCACATACTCAGCTTCACAAATGGGAAATTCATCAAGATAATGATTATGACGTAGACTTGTGCTGGTTAGAGTATGTACCTGTGGGATCTGAGTATGGAATTTTAGAAGTAGAGAAGTGGAAATTGGAAGGGGAATGTGGGGACATTACTTAAGATAAGAAGCATTTTTAGAGACTATGTTGCAAGCAGATAAATAATGCAACTGTAGATTACAAAGCTTCAAACAGCTGTGGTCTGCTTTTCTGATCAGATGGAGCCCTTGCTAGAACTGCCACCCTAATGAGCTTACCCAGACCTGGTGCTGCTTTACTGCGTCCCCTCCCTGCAGCAGGGCAGGCAGCACAGCCCCCTGCCAGCAGAGCTGGCAGCGCCCGGCGGGGGGAGGGGGACGGGGGCACAAAGGCGGCTCTGTACGAGGGGCGGGGGCTGCCGGAGGCCGCGGCTCCTCCCCGAGCGTCAGCTGGAGAACGCAGCTGCTGCTACTGCTTTGCTGCCACCGCAGTCAGCGTGGAGAGGCCGCGCCCCTCTGAGGGGCGGCTTCGAGGGGTTACACAGAGACGCTCACTCATTCTCGCTTCCTCTGTTGCAGGCAATTTGTACAGAAGCTGGACTGATGGCACTGAGGGAACGGCGCATGAAAGTAACAAATGAAGACTTCAAAAAGTCTAAAGAGAACGTTCTCTATAAGAAGCAGGAGGGAACCCCTGAGGGACTGTATCTTTAAGTCACCTCTTTGGGAACTACCAGAAATGCTCCTTGTGCTGATGACAGTCTTGCGTGAAACCATGTATTTTAGCTCATGTTCATTCTTGAAAAGGTTAAATCCTGATGGGTTGTGGTTTTTCAGTCAGCCTAACACTTCATTTCCCAATAAAACGTTTATTTGAATTGAACTGTTTGGTGGCAAAGATCTTATCTGCTCTTTTTACGTGGAACTGTCTGTTGCTTTAGTTAGATTTACTTTCAAACAAATGTGCTGGTGACAGGAGCGGGGGGGAGGAGTGCAGAAGCAGGTTTCTCACCTGTCAGTCTTTGACTACTGGATAATTGCTGCTGTTCCTAAAATAATTACTCTTCTATATCTCTTTTTAGAGGCTAACTATGACAGAAGTCACTTCTGAGTAACCTCAGTTACATAAAAATGAATGAAAAGAACATGCAGCCTTCAGCAACATCCAGCTACACTTTAGAAGTACCTATCTCCATCTAGCACCATGCTTACAAGGAGGCAAGGTGGAGACTTACGTAGTTTAAAAAGCTGGACGTGTTTGGGCAATGTACTTGTAACATTGAAGAGCCTATAACTCTTTTCCCCCCAGAGGGTTACAGCTCACCAAATAAACGTGCCCGCTTTGCTCTGAGATAGAGCAGTCGAGCTCTGCGGCCCTGCGCTGCCCCAGGCAAGATGTGTATGTATGTCCCCAGGGTACAGGCACTGCCCAGCCCAGGGCACCAGAGGTCCTGCTGCCCACGAGGAGCTCAAACTCAGGCCATGCTTGGTGTTCTGCAACGTAATCCTAAAATGGATTCTTTCAACAAATCTGTTGCCTGCAGTTCCATCCCTGTAGGAGTTAATTTCTGTTTTGCCAAGCTGCAGCAATGCATAAACTGCTTATTAAGTACTCTGTGGGGTGTGCTTTTGTGAAGTGCTTGTTAAATTCTAAGTAATTAATTTCCAAATGTTGTACATGTGATTTTTTTAAGGTTGCATGTTACACAAAAGACCATAGTTAAGCAATGTGCAGTCTTTGTTCTGGAAACTTTCTGGGGGAGCAAAAGCTGGCCAGTAACAGACACTGGGGAGTTGCACACAGAGCAATCCCTTTGGTAGCTGCCAGAGCTGCAACAACAATGGTAGCAGCAAGGCCAGAAGATTTTGTTTTTCTATGTAAAAATTATGTGGTTCATTGGTAAAAACAAACCCTTCAGATGAATGGAGTCTTTTTTCAGTGTGGATGACAGAGACCCTGAAATAGAGTTGGTTTTCAGCTGGAGACAGAAAAAACACAGTTTTATAACCCATTCTTATAAACCTTCTGAGATCTGTCTCCTTGGAAAGGTCACAAAAAGCCAGTGAATTTTTTAGCACTTTCTAATGATGGCAGTTGAGATCATTATTGCCTGAGGGGCTGAAGAGCTTTTGTGTGTGGCAAGCAAGGCTTGCCTTTTTTTTTTTTTTTTTTTTTGGGACAGGGCTGAAGGGCTGTTAATGCTGGAGAGCAGCAATAACCACAACAAGGTTGGTTCAACTGAACTGCCTGAAGGAAAGCTCAATGTGTTAAGCCAAACCGAGATCTGTTCTAGTCTGCCACAGCAGTAACTGAAGAAGAAACACACCTGAAAATTAAATTCTTACCTTTTGCAGCAGAATTTAACTTCTGCCGCTTTCTCCAGCATTCCTGAATGTGAGTCACAAAGACCAAGAAAAAAGTGATAAAGATCAAGAGCAAGTGAACAGCAAGGACATTCCCCGTAAGGACAGAAACAGGCACCGGTGTCTGAATTGAAAGGCAGGGCTTACTCCAGGAGCTCCGGGAAGGGGGCAGCCTCTGGCCAGCCCGAGTGGTGGATGCGGCGTGGGTGCTCCGAGGGGAAGGGCCCCCGGGAAGGGACGCACGGGCGAGAAAAGCGACTGAACGAGCTGTTGCTGCCATCACTGGCGAATGGACAGGGTGCTAGATCATCTCACCTAGGCTCCCTGTCCCACAAAGACTGCATCTCTTGAGGTGCCTCCCAGTCTGGGACGCTCTGTGGTCCTGAGACTCAGAAGAGAAACAGGCAGGAGCACAACTGAGCTTTCCCCCACCTCCATGTCCCTTTCAGGTCCTTAGAGGAAATGGCATTCTGCTCTCGTGGGAGAGCAAAACCAAACACACACAATTTGTGATGTTTCTGCTTAGCACAGAGTAACTCCCACCTCAGATTCAGGAGCTCTGTCATTTCTGAAAGATGCATTTTAAAAATGATGTTTATCTTTTACAAAGACTGATCCATTGCTTCTACATCAAAACCAGCAGCAGTTGCAAACACTGCGATATTAGAAGGCTCTTAAGAAGTGCTGTAATACCATTTAAAATTCTGCACATTCCCTGTAATATTTCAAATCATTTTAGAAAAGGTAAATGAAGTGCAGCTTAAACCAAAAGATGTTCTATCTTGGATTGTGGTGCTATGGGGAAAACCGAGCCGTGGGTTCTATGGCTTTCTCCAGCCAGTTTCCCATGTAACCAGGTCTCACCAGCGGCACGGTCCTGATTGTTTTAGTGCTTAGAGACAGTTCATCTCCTGAAAAACTTCTGAAACAGTTCTGGATATCCAGTGGCTGCAGGTATTCTCCTTTCAGATAAAGATCCAGTTTCTAAGTACCTGAGTCTCCAAAGTAGGGATGCTGAACAGTCTTTTACGTATTTCAGCATATTCTGTCTTATAAAATAAGTACATCAGTGTATCTTTAAATGGTTACCATATTTTATATTATTTGTCTAGGTGCTTGCCTACAGACTCTTGGAATAGAAGCTACTAATTAAACAATCATGTTTTGACTACTCTGCCTTCTCTGATGAGGATTAAACACAGACCAGAGCTCTACTGCTCTTATGATGACTGCCTGTATTTGGGTCAAAAGTGAGTAGTCAATTACAAAAGACTTGTTTAAAAGTGAGTTGCTGGGAGAGGCACTGTTGACACATTTTCAGTTTTAATTTAATAGAACTGTGAGTGTATTAAGAAATACAAAATAATTCAAGTTCTTCTTGAATTTTCAAATATTCAGGTCTATTCTTCATAAATATTCATATTAAAACAGTCATCTTTCAAAACATACAAACATAAGTCCAAACCAGGTGCCTGCTCAAGCCGAGATGTAGCTTTTACTAGCGGTATATGTACAGAGGTAACGGCTGTCTGACTTGGTGCTTCTATACACACACACACGCGTACCAAGCTGAAGGAAATTACTGAAGTCTGCCAACTGGAGGAGAATGGAGCATCCATTTGGCAGATGTTTATTTCCTGTGCTGCTCACTAAACCATAGCTGCCATGTCCTGAATCGCTGCTGAGCCCCAGGGAATGTAATTTCAAACAACAGAATGAGAAATGTGGGCAACATTTAACAGGAGGCTATTTATAAGAGGGCATCCTTCTGTGGGAGCCAGCAATACTTCAGAGAAATAGATGCATTTTTTGTGGGCAAAATGCAGTCCTTGGTTCCAGAGTACTTGCAGCCAGTAGAACTCCATTTTGAGAGCAACTTACATAAAAACTGAAAAAAAAACAAAACAAAACACCACCAACAAAACCAACTCCCCCCCCCAGCCCTAAACTAGCCAATTTAGAAACTCTAACTGCATAGTACCCAAGTCCCAACAGAGCTGGTGTTTAAAAAGACACAGGTCCAACTGTTAGTTTTGGAAACAGCTTCTGTACATTCTCCAATCTTCTTTTAAACCTCTAACAGTAGATCCAGCTCCTCCATAGGTACCCGCACTCTCAGTTCTTTTTCGGTCATTAGGTCCAGCGTCTCCTGCAGGTGCTCGGGGAAGAGCTCCACTGCATCCAGGTACAGCACCTAGGGAGACAGCGACAGCACACACCTTCTGTGCCCTCCTGCTAGCACAGCAAGAAGCACAGTATAAGGCAGTATGTAGATATGCAAACAGCTCTGCAGCAAGAATGCAATAAAGAGCATATACTTCTTTAAAAGAACACAAACAGAATTATGTAGATGTTTAATCAAGTCTTTTCTGTCTCTTACTAAATGATTTTATCCAAAAAGATAAAATGTAGGCCAGGAGGCGCTGCAGTGTTTGCAGCATATACAGACATCATCTGAGGAGCTGCAGGTGTTCCTGAGGAATTCCTTATGTTATTAACCAAATACATTTTTATTTGCCCATGTATTTCTGCTACCACCACGCTCATGATAAAACACAATCTGAAAGACACGATCACTTCTAGATCACACAGAGAGAAATGTGTCATCTTCTGGCCTCAGGCAATGCAGCATCTTTCTGTTCTGGAATGCAAACACCACTGACCACTATGCTTCCATTTCAGATGCATCTCTTATTTGCAGAAAATCTTGCAGTATTTCTCCTTTCACTTGCATTAATTACAGCAACTACTAAAGTCTAACTTTTTTTTTTTTTAACAAATACAGAATTTCCAAAATTAGGAGTATGAGGACAGGTTCATATTTTTTTTCTATGCTTACCTTTGCCCAAGGACAGTTTTGAAGAGCTTTATAAAACAATCCTTTACTTTTTTCTTTTCTTCCTAGTGAAGCCTGTGTAAGGAAAAAAAAAAGTTCATATTCAGTGCAGTAATAGCTGAAATAATAGAACAACTATCTCTTTGAGACAGAGAAGCTGCTGCTGAATAGCTCTGTGTTTATCTGCTGAGGAACCCCTGTTAGGATGTGTTGTGGTAGCTACGCAATCGGACAGGTTATGCTACTGACACTGGTTACACTCCTCACTGCAATCAGAGAGATGTTTTTAAGGACTTTGAGGGCTTTTCTTTTAAGTGCAAGTAATAGAACAAAGACCAGCAGAAAGAGCCTCTGTGGAACATTTCAGTTAAAGTCAGTGCCTTTGCCTATATTGGACAATAAGAAGGCAATGGGCAAGACTGCCAATCATCAGACTGCCAATCATCAACCAAAACTTACACCCGATATGCTACATACAGACTACACAAGAGCATCTTTGGTACACAGTGTGACA